TCTTTTCCAACTCACAACATTCTGATTCCATTATTCTAATTTCTGTGGGACACACTAGATGGACATACAGAGGAAATTCTTCCCCATGAGAGAGGTTAAACACCAGGAGCAGGAGACCAGAGAAACTGCAAAGCTCCATGCTTGCAGATTTTCAGACCTTGGCTGTTGATGTACTGTTGAAGTTAGTCCTGCTTTGAGCAGGAGATTGGACTGGAAACCTCTGGAGGTCCTTTCCAAACTGGATGAGTGTATTATTGTAGCAGTGATATGAATGCAGATTCTTAACTTTCAGGATTCTTTGACTTGCTCTAACAGAAAATGTTGAAGTCTGTGTTTGCTGCCATTGCACATTTGGTGTTTACTCAGTGACCACAGCGTGCTTCTGAGATATTACAGTTATTTCTTATCCTAGTATATGGGGATTGACAAGGACAAGGGGCAATGGGCAAACACTGAAACACCAGAAGTTCCAGACAAACTTAAGGAAAAATTTCTTTCCTGTGAGGGTGTTGGAGCCCTGGGACAGGCTGCCCAGAGAGGGTGTGGAGTCTCCATCTCTGGAGATGTTCCAAACCCACCTGGACATTTCCTGAGGCAACCTGCTCTAGGTGAACCTGCTTTGTCAGGGGGGTTGGGACTGGATGATCTCCTGAGGTCCCTTCCAACCCCCACCATTCTGTGATTGTGTGGTTGTGTAGCTGTGCATTTGAGATCGCTCTTTGGTAGATGTGGATTCACCTTTGGCCCCACTACTGTCCCTAATGGCAGGTTCTGTGGGTTTCACCCACAGCTCAGACCATGTGGTCCTGCACTTACTCTCCCCCACCCGGTGAGACGGGGAGAGAAACACAACAAAGGGGTTATGGATTAGAATGAGGACAGGGAGGACTCACTCACCAGTGATGGTCATGGGCAAAAGAGACTCAACTTGGGGAAGAAAAAAAAAAAAAAATCATTACCAATCATCAGAGTAGGATAGTGAGACATGACAACCACATCTGACAACACCTTCCTCCACCCTCTTTAAACTGGAAGAGGGTGGGTTTAGATTGGACATTAGGAAGAAATTCTTTAGTGTGAGGGTGGTGAGACAGTGTCCCAGGCTGCCCAGAGAAGCTGTGGCTGCTACCCCGTGGGATCTTGGCCAGGTTGGATGAGGCTTTGAGCAACCTGGTCTAGTGGAAGGTGTCCCTGCTGATGGCAGGGGGGTTGGAACTGGATGAGCTTTCAGGTCCCTTCCAACACAAACCATTCTATGGACTTGGACTTGATACCATGAACTTTGCTACTTTCCAGACCCAAACTGCCTGAAATTAAAAGGCTCCAAGTGTACATAACGCTGAAACTTGCCTGTGTTATTTACCTGTGGAGTTCAGTCACTGGGAAAGTGGCATTTATCAAAGACATAACTTCCAGCTTGTCTGACTGCAAATACAGAGTGTCAGAAAGGCCATCAAATAAAACACCCAACAAACCCCACTAAAAAAAGGGAAAAAAAAAAAAAAAACAAACGAAAACCAGCTTTTTCCAGCAGAAGAAAGTTCAGTGCATAACAATGTGGGGTTTTTCATAGAATCATAGAATGGTTTGGATTGGAAGGGACCTTAAAGCTCATCCAGTTCCAACCCCCCTGCCAGCAGCAGGGACACCTTCCACTAGACCAGGTTGCTCAAAGCCTCATCCAACCTGGCCAAGAACACTTCCAGGGAGGGGGCATCCACAGCTTCTCTGACCAACCTGTTCCAGTGTCTGACCACCCTCACAGTGAAGAACTTCTTCCTAATATCTCATCTAAACCTCCCCTCTTTCAGTTTAAACCCATTTCCCCTTGTTTTGTCATTAACTGCCCTTTTTGGTTTTGTTGATTTTTTTTTAAATTTTTTTTTTAAAGTACAATAAATTGACTTCTATTTATTTCTTAAAAGGTGTGTTTGAGAGCTGTGTGTTGGTCTTAATTAGTTTTGAGAATAAGTAACTCTTTAGGAACTGGGAAGATTAAAAATAAAGCTGAATGATCTGAATGGGAAGTTTAAATTTTTCTTGCTTGTGTTTTAGAAAATACTTTTCCTGAATGTCTTGGAACCTTTTTAATGTCATTTTCTTGCTTGCTTTCAGTTTTTCCTTCACTGCATTTTCATCTCTCAGCTTCTCAGTTTGACAAATGTTGTTCCTGATCTTTTTCTTGCTTTGGTGAAATTGCTGACAGCTTTCAGGGCAGCGATGCATGGCTGCAACCCCCCCTTAAGTGACTTGGGGGGGTTAAAGTGCCTTTGGAAAGAGGAAATTTGGGATGTGTCTCTACCTGCCAAAGGAAGAAGCTTAAAAATTAGCACTTAGACTTCTGCCAAAGGTTTCCAAGCTGTGTCTGCATGCCTGCTGAGCCTTCTCCATTTGTATGTACTCTGGCATCTCAGGTTTTTGGGGAGAAGCAAATTTGGGTTTTCTGCTTCATCTGTGGTGTGGTTTTGTGATGTATTATGGACAAAATTCCATAACTGAGTTGCTACTGGGAAGAAAGAGGATGGATAGTGCTTTGTGGCAAGTGACAAGAACCCCATAAATGCTGTTGAAGTCATGGTGGTGTGGGATTAGGAGCAGCCTGGTCAGTCCTTTGTGGTTAATCATGGAATCATAGAGTGGTTTGGGTTGGAAGGGACCCTCAAAGGTCATCTAGTCCAAGTCCCTTCAGTGAGCAGGGACATCTTTACTAGAGCAGGTTGCTCAGAGCCCCATCAAGCCTGACCCTGAGTATCTCCAGGGATGGGGCTTCCACTACCTCTCTGGGCAACCTGTTCCAATGATCCACCACCCTCATATTGAAGAACTTTTTCCCTAATATCCAACCTAAATCTGCCCTTTTCTAGTTTATTGTCCTATTTTCTAGTTTATGTGTCCTTTTGCTGCCTGCCCTTGTGAACAGTTCTTCCCCAGCTTTCTTAGAAGCACCTTTCAGGTACTGGGAGGCCACTAGAAGGTCTCCCTGGAGCCTTCTCTTCTCCAGGCTGAACAGCCCCAACTCTCTCAGCCTGTCCTCACAGCAGAGCTGCTCCAGACATCTGATTATTTTTGTGGCCTCCTCTGGACACGCTCCAACAGGTACACGTCCTTCTTGTGTTGAGGGCTACAAAACTGGATGCAGTATTCTGGTCTCACCAGAGCAAAGCAGAGTAGAGAAGCAGAATCACCTCTCTGGATCTGCTGGCCACAATTCTTTTGATGCAGCCCAGGATGGGGTTGGCCTTTTGAGCTGCAGATGCACATTGGTGGCTCATGTCCACCCCCAAGTCCTTTTCCTCAGGGCTGCTTTCCAGCACATCACCGCCCAGCCTGTATCAATAACGATACACAAATTCTTTTTGAAGACTGAGCTCTAGCCTTGAAGATTGGCAGCAAGTGCACGTTCTCATCATCCATGCAGAGAAAAGAATTTCATAGTTGGGGACTTCTGGGCAAAGTTTTTCAGGAGGAAGGAAAAAGTGTGGATTCCTTTTAGAAACTGCTCTTAATTTAAAAAGCCTGAGTGCCCCAAAGCTATTTCAGGGTCATTCTTGACTTGGAGGCAAGCAAAGTATTACATTGTTGATAGATGTTCTTTCAGTATATTTAATATTTACTGGTATTAAGAGACCAGACCTTAGCTTGGCTGTCTGCTTACTGTATGTCTTTGATTTCATTTTTAATGTTTAGTTGACAGGTTCACTATAAACTGAAATCCTAAAATGCGAGTAAATGTCTGATTTCACTAATATCTTCAGTTATTAGGGAATGATTCCCTCTCCCAGTTTTAAATCTTTGTTTCTCTCTATGCAAAAAGTGCTGTGCTCTCTCTATTTTCTTACAACAGATTTTGGAAATTGCAGATGGATGCCATTATTTATTCTTTTTTCTTAATTATTTTTTTTCTGTTAAATAGGTAGAAAACCGAGTAAACTGGGAGAGGTGCAAATTGAGAGCGTTACTTTTATACATTGCTGTGTCATTCCTGATGACTTTTGTCTACGTTTGTTTTTAGGATATAAATGGAAATTAGGTTCCTTGATCTAGTGCCCACTTGATCTCAGCTGGTTGCTACTGAAGTGCATCAGCAGAGAAATTCTCTAGGAAGAAATTCTTTGGTGTGAGGGTGGTGAGACAGTGTCCCAGGTTGGCCAGAGAAGCTGTGGCTGCTCCTCCCTGGAAGTGTTGAAGGCCAGGCTGGATGAGGCTTTGAGCAACCTGGTCTAGTGGAAGGTGTCCCTGCTGATGGCAGGGGGGTTGGAACTGGATGATCTTTAAGGTCCCTTCCAACCCAAACCAGTCTGTGATTCTATGATTCCATGAAATGTTACCTGTGTGTTTAGATCCCTGTCTGTTACTCTGTTGCTTGTATAAAATTATTTTCCTTAATTTGAGCCTTAATCAAAGCTCAATCAAACATTAAAAAAAACCCCAGCACATTCTTTAGAGTCCAAAAATACATGTGAACTAGCAGTGGCTTTCATGAATCTGATGACTGTGTTTATTTAAATCCTGTAGTTACATGGCATAGCAGCTATGTAGGGTAGAAGATAAGGTCTCCTAAGCTTTTTCAGCTGTGTCATGACATCACTTCAGGCAAATAAAATTTAAGCCGTTTTCTCCTTGTTTATAGAATTTGTAATAATGTTTTGTTGGTGTTTCTGTAATGAAAAGAATAAAGACAATCAAACATCATTGTCAGTATCTTTTTCTAACACTTTTCTGCTTGATAATCCTCTTATTTTGTGATAAACTGTGCTTTGATTTTTATTTAATGAACTATGTTTTAACTAACTTGTTTTATACACATGCCTAAAATATTTGAAGACTGCTCATTAAATCTGAGTTGTTCAGTTATTGGGCCCTTTTTATATATTGATATTTTTTCTTTTAGGAATAGAAATAAAGAAATAGTACTTAAATTTTTTTGACTTTAAAAGAGTTTTTGGGTAGAATGACCAAAATTTTTTTGTGCTTTAAAAGGGTTCGTGGGTAGAATGATCATGGTATTCAGACACTCCCTTAATCAAAGAGAAAAGTCCTGGGAGATGAATGAACTGACCTTTAAGAGTTGTCACATGTTTTCCTTCCAGGTATCAGCAGTGGATTCCTTGGAGGGTCCCCTCCTTCAGGTGGAAGGATTGAGTGATCTGAGACTGGAGCTCCACAGTAAGAAGATGAACATGCACTTAGTCCTGATAGATGAATTACACCGTCACCTTTACATCAAATCAACGAACCGAGTGGGACAACGCAACAAGGAGAAAGGGAGAATAAGGTGGGTTTGGGGTGATGCTAACTGAGGACAACAGGTCTGGGAAAGGGGAGAGGAAGGACAACGTTCTCCTTTTCATAAGTAGAAACTTTCTTGGGAGAATGCCATTGACTTACACCTCAACCTTTCATTTTTGGCAGGCAAATTTCTCATGCTTATGGCAGTGGAGAGCAGGAAAAACTCCAAATATGTTGATGCACCTTGGAGCCTGTGAACAGTCTGTTCTCATTCTTCCACTTTTGCTTAGTGATTCCGTTGGTTTTTTGCTGCTTCCCACAGAATTATGATGAGGTCAATACTTTTTAGCATTCTTTTCCTTCTCTGCTTGCATATACCTTTCCTACAAATGTCATGATCATGAGGCTCAGGTCAGGCAAAGGGAGGAACACAGGGAAAAATTGATCATCTTTTCTAGCAAACATCCCAAGTTTAAAAGACTTCCAGCTGACCATAAGGTTACTAGCTGGAGGCTGCAGTATTGAAGTGCCTGAGCAAGTGTCTTGCCTATGTTGTGTTCTAAGGATTTTAAAGATGTTGAAACTTCTTACTGGTTGGTGCCTCTGATCAGTGGAAATTCACCTGAAGTATAGGTGCCTGGCTTTTTTTTTTGTTCTCCTAACTTTGCAATTTCTACATTTGAGAGCTATAGAGTTGTTGGGAGGGAAGGAAGAAAGATAGTGGCTAGAAAAGAGTCACAGTATTGGAAGATAACTCCTGTAGAGTAGGAGAGGTAACAAACAGGGGCAGGGAGCAAAAGGGGAGCCAGCATATGATAAAGATGCAGAGCAAAGATAAATTAGCATTTTATTATAAGAAGGAATAAAAAATACTTACCAAAAATAAGAGGAGAGATAGTGAGTTACATGAAATGAATTTATGAAATAAAGGATTGATTGAAGTTAAAATTTCTAGGAAGGAGGGTTGCTAGCAAGCCATCAGTCTCTTCCTTACTCATCTTGTTAATTAAAAACAGGCACAAAGCTTTGGTGTACCCAGACTGTGTGACTGCTAATTAACTGCAGTTTAGTACAAATGCTACAGGGAGACCCTTATCTCTTTCTTATTTTCTTTCTTTTTTTCCATTCTCTGTTGCACATCACTGAGATTTGATAACATAAACTCTTGCATCATGGGCAGTCTTGTTGAGTGTTCTGCCCTAGACTGGCTGTTGGCCAGGATGCAGTAATGTTTTAATTATTTCTTGTATAGGTTTTAAGTGTGTTCTGGCTAACATTGCTAAGCTGGAATGCATAGCTAATCCCTGTGAGTATGGTATTACAGGTGTATAAGGAGTATAAGTGGTTCTTATGCAGGATAGTAAGCTTAGCCCTAGTCTTTACAGCTTTCTATAAGCATTTTGACCTCTAAGGGAACATACTGAACTCCATTATAGGAGCTTTCTCCACTTCTTTCTCTTAAAAATGATTTCTTGCTTGTATTCCCCTGCCACATCCAGCTTCATCCCTTTCATTATGCAGCTGGGGCAGCAAGACATGTTTTTGGCAAATAATACTATGTGAATTTATTATGAAAACGACCAAATAAAAACTCTTTCTGAGTAAGGAGGTTCATTTGCAGAGGGACAGAATGGGAATTTGAAGGGGAGGAAAAAGAGTGGAGGCTTCTAGTGGGAAGTAGGAAAGCTTGAAGGATTAAGTAGTTGACAGAAGCCATGGAAATGGGAATGTGTCTTCTCCTCAGTATGGAGTTTTCCAGAAAGATCTTAATAATGCCATGTTAATGTATTACCATGCTAGCAGCAGTTAATTGTGCTGGAGGTGAATGTGTCTGGGAAATAATCATGTGCTATGGCAAGCTGCAGTGTGCCTGTGTCCTGATGGTGTTGCTGTGACCATTCAGACCAGTTCAGAGTGCTGTTAAATTCAGAGAGGCCTCGGGATGCCAAATTTTGTCTTTGATATGACAGTGTTCCCTCATCATTGCTTTTTTTGGCCTTTTCCTTTTTCATTCAAATACATTTATATACACACCCACTCATATTCATCTATGGGCTTGTGGTCTAAGTTAGGTTTTGTAAACATCTTGTATCAAAACTGTGCGTTACGTATATCTATTGCTGAGGCTTACAGATTTAAGAAATAAATGGATTGTTTGTTGTGAATGTAGATTGTAAATAATAATAAACTGCTTTAATTCTTACCCCTCACACAGTTCACTTGTGAAAGATGCCTCTCCTGTACCTCTTGTGGATGTTACTAACTTGTCTACACCTCGAAAGTTCCTTGAATCTTCCCAATTTGGTACTCCTGGAAGCTCCAACAGTGAGTATTTAAGTCACATACATTCCTCACAGAATTAGTTTGTAGATCTTCAGCTGATTTTCCAGCAGTAGTAGTAGGCATTTCATCCCTACTTCATGGGTGGCTGCTGATAGGAGGTCCTGAGACAAAAAGGTAAGTGATTGTCCAGGGGTAAAACTTGACCATATCTGCATTTTTCTTTTGGCAAATAATCTTTCCTCCCCTTCTCCACCATTTTCTGTGCCTGTTCTGATCTTGATCATGTTCTTCATATCTTGAGCAGAAGAGATATCTGCAGTCAGGTCAGTTTGCATAGAGGTCTCCTCTGCATTATTTAGTGTAGCAGGCAAGTATGTGTAGATGTTGCAGAAGGTTTTTTTTCCTCTGTTAGAGCCAGAAGGCCAAAGCTTTTCCTTGTGGGAACTTTGTAACTTTGACTAAAGGTCTGTGTATACACAGAAATAATCTGGTGGTGATCTTTGGATACCTGTTACTGCAACAAACACGGAGCAAGACAGTTTCATTGGTGCTTTTGTATAAGGCTTTGAAAGTACTGCACAGATGGGGAATTAATCCTTGTGTTGTTTCAGTAGATTAATAAGTGGGGTTGTCCTTGTTTAACAAGTGAATAAAATGAATAATACAGAAGTGACCTACATCTCTCCCCCTCTTTCTTTCAAAACTTCACTGTTTTGGTGTTCCTCAAATGCAGAGAATCTTTCCTTCTCTTCCTATCCCTACGAATTCTTTTGTCCTTATTTGTATCTGCTTTCTTCTTGTCGTGCTTGCCTCCTAGAGTCTTAGTTTGATCATTGTTTGATCATCCTTATTTTTTGCTCTTATAGGAGTTTTTCTTACTTAGTCCTGCATCTGTAGGGTTGGCTAATCTCTCAGAGCCTGAGGCTGTATTTCTACATAGTCGAGGTTTGTGAGGAGTCACTTGTGACATGTCAATACAAACTTTCAAAGCTGGAAGCTGCAGCTTGGTTGGGGAAACCTGGAAGAGAAGAACTGTAAGAATTCTGGTGGAAAAAACCTTAAGAATTCCTGTTATTTTCCCCTGTGATCAGTGAGAAGTTCAGTTCCTTGCTAAAGATGACATGATTTTGGAGAGCTGAGGAAATAAACCACAAAAAACTGAATCCCAGTCTCACCACTGTAAATATTAACCTACTTCCTTTTCAGTGAGTTCACAGAATCATGGAATGGTTTGGGTTGGAAGGGACCTTAAAGATTATCCAGTTCCAACCCCCCTGCCATCAGCAGGGACACCTTCCACTAGACCAGGTTGCTCAAAGCCTCATCCAACCTGGCCTTCAACACTTCCAGGGAGGAGCAGCCACAGCTTCTCTGGCCAACCTGGGACACTGGCTCACCACCCTCTCAATGAAAAATTTTTTTCCTAATGTCTCTTTCAGTTTAAAGCCATCACCCCTTGTTCTATCACTCCCTGCCCTTGTAAAATGTTCCTCCTCAGCTTTCTTGTAGGCCCTCTTCAGGTACTGATAGGGAGCTATAAGGTCCCCCCAAAGCTTTTTTTTCTCCAGGCTGAACAGCCCCAACTCTCTCAGCCTGTCCTCACAGCAGAGCTGCTCCAGCCCTCGCATCATCCTCGTGGCCTCCTCTGCACTGGCTCCAGGAGGTCCATGTCCTTGTGCTGTTGGTGGCCCCAGCACTGGAGGCAGCACTGCAGGTTGGGTCTGAGGAGAGCGGAGCAGAGGGGCAGAATCCCCTCCCTCCACCTGCTGCCCACGCTGCTCTGGGTGCAGCCCAGGACACGGTTATTGGCCTCTGTGCTGCCAGCGCACGTTGCCGCCTCATGTTGAGCTTCTCCTCCCCCAGCACCCCAAGTCCTTCTCCTCAGGCTGCTGAGTTTACTGTGCTGATTTTCAGTGTATAGGTCTTGTACTGAACTAACTGTGATCATTCCTGACAGTCTTGAGTTGAAAGTAAGCCTGGGTTATCCATCTGACGGGGATGTTATAAACTTTGCTGAGATACCTCTACAAAGGATGAGTGCTGTGTTTTATATAAGATATAAAGATAAACCAACATGTGAAGGTTGCCCCTTGTATAAGGAAGGAACAAAGTGCGACATCCTTAGTTTGATTCAATTTTTTGGCAGAGATGAGGCCAAGATTCTTTTCCACCATCTTTTTACTTAGAATAGGACATGGGATCTGTATTTATTGTATTAGTTCCCGTTAGAATAGGGAGGTTTGGGATTTGCTTATCTGGATTAGACATTTCCTCTCGTACAAGTAGAGAAAGTGTGTTTTCAAATAAAAAAAGGTTTAGTGGTGTGTTTTTTGGGTGGGGTTTTTTTGGTTTTAGGTTTTTTTTTGGTGGTTCCCCCCATAGTGTACCAGGCAATGTTTGCATGTGTAAGAAGAGAAGAATGTGCGTTATTAATCGCTTGTGATAGCAGAATAAGAAGTGGTACTGGCATTCCTAGAGCACAGCTAGATAAATATTTTCTGACTCATTTGAGACTTCTAAAAATCAGGAAGATCTAATTTTATTTGCTTGATGCAGTGTTGATGCTGTTTAAAATCACTTGTCCTAAGGTGCCCTGATAAACAGTTATTTCATGCTGCATTTCAGTGAAGGGTCTAGGGTGCAAGGAACTGGTAGGAACCACAACAGTGGGTCTTTAAGAACTCTTAGGAACAAAGTTGTTTGTGAACATAAAATGGCATTGCTTCTTTCATTTTAAATGCCTGAAAACGAGGGCTCTGCTGGCTTCATCCTCAACTCTAGCTGAGAATCTCACAGAATCACAGGGGTTGGAAGGGACCTCAGGAGATCATCTAGTCCAACCCCCCTGCTAAAGCAAGTTCCCTACAACAGGTTGCAACAACTTTCAATCTCCCTTATAAATTGTTTTTGCAGATCTATTCTTGCTCTTCATGCCCAGTGCACCAGAAAATGTCTTACCTTGTTCCTCATTATGCTCTGTATCATTCAATGAAGTGTTGGGCAAGTGTCTCTCAGACTGGGAAAGTTGGAGATGATAATAGAAAACATTTGATCAGCATAAAGTATGCATATGGTTTTGCTTCAAGTGCACAATGTACTTATGTATATTTTTTTCCACATAATTTTATTTAAAAGTAGCCTTTTCCAGGACTGCAGAACTACCAGAGAATTTAAAACTTATGTATATGCATAAGGAAAGCTGTTTCTGCATTTAGTCATTTAAGTTCTTTGGCTTTTTATTGATGAAACAAAGTGGCCGTGCATATTAATGCGTGTCGTTATAAAACACTGACTCATTCAACCCATCTCAGCAAAGATGCCAAAATTTTTCAGTTCTTTCTGCATTCACATCCCAAAGGAGATGTTACCTTGTTCTGTAGAATCTTTATAAGGAAATTAAAGCTGTTCCTGCTACACTTAAAATAAACAAAACCTTCAGTAATGTTCACCTGAGGATTGTAGATACGGCAGTTCACCAGGAACGTTTTCCCTTCATGCCAGTTCAGAGGAATAAATTCACTTTTAAATTATATTTCTCTGCTTGAACCTTCTGTACTCTGAAGAGTATTTATGAAGGTTCCTGCTTTGCCAGGCTCTTCCTGGAACTATAAAACGTACTCACCCAGTACACAGCAAACCCAAGAGCACCCTTTCCTGAGAAATTCCTGAGAATACTTTTTAGAAATCTGACAAGCATGAGCGGAGGTGATGACAATTAATATTGTTATTGATGGCATATGTAAATTTTATGCTGAACAGATAATACACTTCAGTGATGCTTACTTCTCAACTCTTAAGAGAAAAATGGAGCTTCTAGATCCAAGCGGTATGGTGGCTTCTAAGTCAAGTCTAGTTACTGGTCCTGGCTCTGTTTCTTCAAGAACACAAGTACTTCTGTGTAGGTGAAAACATGTGGAGACCTGTGAACTTGGCCCCTCAAAATACCTGTGTGAGCCAGAGCTTTAAGGTCCAATTTGAAAAGTGGCTCTGCAGATGCTGTTGTGGCATTCTCTGTTGTCACAGTTGCTTCCACTTCAAACGTGCTCAACAAATACATAAAAGATATTTTCTTTCCTGTTAACCTCACCTGAGGACCTGACACCAGCTGGGTGATTTTTCTCTATCATTTTGACTAAAAATGAAATTATCCCTTCACTGTACCAGAGTTTTCCTGTTGTAGCTGTTTTGCATTTGCACAAATCCAACCGAGGAATTGATGGGAAGGTGGTGGGAATCCAGCGGTGAGTCTGATTCTCTCCCGCTATCGTTGCGGTGCTGCACAAAAATTAAGAGTTCTTATCTCAGGGTAAATTTTTGTGCTGAGAATGTTTAAGAGGAAACCTGTTCCTGCAGTTTAAGAAGGTTTTGCAACTACACAATAAACATGAAAGCTTGTGGAGTAACTTTTTCCGTGTCTGTTTTTGCAGGGCCATGATTACTCTCCCCGATCCTCACTAATGGTTCGTGTTCTGAATGGATGCTGAGCGCTGATGCGCGTAACCTCTGTGTGTGTTTGGGGAAGGGAAGGGAAGGGAAAATTGAGGAAACTTTAGATCCTTGTGGTGAAAGCTAAAAGAATAATGCTAAGTCACTCTTCCTGTATAATTTCATTAGTTGTTCTTATATGTGATCCCAACAGAAGATACTTAACTACCATGCACTTATTTTCTTTAATTTGGAGACTCAATTTTCATGCTTATGTGTATTAGGACGATTTTGAACGTAGCTTATAAAATTGCTTTGTACAGTTTTCTCAGAATGAAATGTAGTTGCAATGGATTTGAAAGAGTGGCCTTGTCAAATTAAAATGCCTCTGTTTTTGAGAGACTAACATCCTTAAAACTATAGATGGAACTGTGTGAACAACAGTTTTAAAAGAGGAGATTTGCCTTGAGGCTTTGAAGTTATTGATCTCCAAGACTCATTTTTTTCTGGACTTGGTAGTAAGGCAGAGCAGAAAATTACCAAAATTTTTAAAGAACCTATTTCTAAAGTAACTATCCATTTCTTGCTCATTGTCTCCATGCAGGGGTCAGAACACA